GTGTGTGTGTGTGCGTGTGTGTGTGTGTGTGTGTGTGGGTGTGTGGGTGTGTTGGTGTGTTGGTGTGTGTGTGTGTGTGCTCGAGCCCCTCTAGACCTTATCAATTACCTATGCACAGTGTTGCAATGTAGACCATTCTGATCTTGGCTGAATAGAAGTGACTTTGCTGGGAGCTTGGTTTAGTGCAAGCCAGGCAGGTTACACCTCACTGCCTCTTCCACCTCAAAGAGGCCAACTCTTTGGACAAGGTCTGAGTGAGATTTCCTGTGTATGTATCTATTATTGTAGTATCCTTGGGAATTGGCTTAATCTCCTCCCGGTTTAATGCTTATAGAGTTCCTTTAGATATCAATCCTGTGCTGCTTTGCCTTATCCATGAGCACCTAAGCTTTAGAGGACATGGCTTCTGTACCAATGTGCAGTGACCTGATGGAGGCCACTGTCTGTTCACCCATCCTCAAGTGGGTCTGCACACTCCTTTTTAGATAGTTTTGTGTGTTTTTAGTAGGTATTCTGGGAAGTCAAGGGCTAGAAATTTTTAATATTTTCTACAGGATCAGGGTGTTCACTTTGTGTTCTCTAGGAATCAAAATAGTAACTAGAATCATGTTGGCATCATGTGAGGAGAGAGTAAAAGGAAGCACAAGACAATGCCATCTTCCTGGGGTTCCAGTTGTTTTCATATGATGGAGCTTAGGACATAAGCTTATTTATGGCATCTTTATGCTTAACATATTTACAAGAGGCCTTTTCTTTTTCAAGTGTAGATTGTTTTGGGATGCTCTGATACTCCTCTAAGAAGTTTCCCAGACAGTTGCCAGAGTTCAGGAAGTTGTAAACACTGTCCCTGTCGCTCATTTTCAGACAAGTGCAGCTTCTCTGTGCATTGTTACTCTTATTGGCAAGTGTTAACCTTTCTCTAGTGATCAGGAAGGGCTTTCCATCCAGGCTGTTCCTGGAGGCTAGACTTCTAGTTTCCTCTTAGGAAAGAGATGTCTGTCAGGTTAGGGGCTGGATACAGTTGCACAGCAGTCTTCTAAAGCTAGCCAGTAGCCATCCATATGCCTTAATTGGGGGACTTCTGTAAATTCAATAGGCTGTTGAGTCAGTGGTATGACTTACCACTGAATTACCAGATTTAGAGGGTAGATAATTTAACAGAAACCTAGCCTCTACCAAGTCAACAAGTTTGTCTTTCTCATCTGGTAAGACAACAATACCAGTCATACCTGGGTGTGGTGGTGCATTCCAGCACTCAGGCTGGAGGCAAAAAGATTGTGAATTCAAAGCCACCCTGGGCTATATGGTAAGTTCCAGACTGGCAAGGATTGCTGAATGAGTATAAAAAAAAAAAAAAAAAAAAAAAAAAAAAAAAGCCAAAACAAAGCCAAAAGGAATACCATGGGCCATGGGTGGAGTGATGGTGTCTGTCTGTCTGTCTGTTTTAAAGAGCCCAGTACACCTGACGTACAGATTTCAGGAGCATGGTTACACATTTATCATTTAGAAACAAACAGTGTCCAAGAGACAACTGGGGTGTTTTCATTTTGAAAATGCTTTAATAAGTGTTGACAACACTGTTCTGCAAAATGTAAAGGTACTATACAAATTCTTAATACAAAAAGAATAAATTAAAAGCAGATTTCTCTTTTAATTCTGCAACTTTGTCTACAACATACATCTTTTTCATTGATTACAATTGAACAGAATCCAGTAAAATCATTTTACATGCTCTACAGTCAGTTTCAGGAGCAACCTAATCTTTTCCCCCCATTATTAAACTAGAGTCCATTTTACACAACTTGTAATAAACTATTGACATGAATGGTTATGTAAAACTTTACACCTAGTTAACTAAGCAGTAATTGGTCGTCTGATAGCACCTGGATGAGGTTTGCTATATTTTAGAACTAAACTAATACTGAATGAAAACAAATTGGGATTTTTAACAGTTTCAACACTCACCTGCATATAACAAAATAAACCACCCTGGCTCACAACATAGTCTTCTGGCTGAAACAGGCAATTTCTTACATGTACCCAAAGAATCCAATAGGGGCTTTAGATCAGACTGGGGGCTTCATATTTCATCTTCCTTTAAAGAAATAGGGATCTGTAAAGCGTTTGCAGGTGCTTGCATACAACACCTAGAGTGTTCACCACCACACTGACCATTTACCATGTCAGTCTCAAAGGACTAATGCTTATTATGTACATTGTATTAACTGAACACAGCTAAACAGTAAAACCTGTTTTACTTAATCTCTGTCCTTACTATCAGACTATCCTGACGGTGTTCACAGCTTCCATCTGCTCCCCAAATGTATTATATTTTAGATTCCTTCTGCCTCTCTCATTGATCCAACCAAATTCAGAACTGATTTTCAAACCACTGTCTATGTTATAACCTATAACCTGTAACCATGTAACCTTGTCTTGTTCTTTGTTTCCCTTTGGACTTTTACTGTTGCACCATAGTTCAGTCTAATTATTCAGGCATCTCCTTTTGGAAGAAAAAAAAAATTGACCCAATGTGTCACATTTCCTATTAGGGAAGGAAGAAAAAAAAAAAAATTCCCCGAATAAACCTGCCTTTTGTAGCTCTGGATCATCATCATTAGGAGCAATAAAAAAGGGAGCCCCCATCTCCATCAAGCCCCAGATTCATTTTGTACCATTATCCAGTTTCTACCAATCCTACAGGGTTACCCCTGCAGTGTTTGGGAAGAGTACTGTTTTTGAAAGCTAGAGTCATCAAGCCAGCCATGTCAGCTATGCCAGCTCTGGGGTACCCGGCCTTGAATGGACCATAGAAATATGGCAGAGGAGACCTAAGACCATATGGTATGAATGCTTGCTGTTGACTTCAGAGCAATGGGGTTAGTCCTTGCTGGTGTCCATTTCTTACCCTCTTGGTCTGGTGGAGTCTATTGTTGTTCTTGGATTCACATACATGAACAACAAAGGTTATTCTGTTGATGCCACAGCTAACTTTTAGATCTGCTTTCCCACAAAAGTACTCCCACCCTGGCTCCTGTTCTTGGATGCCTTTCCCACAGGAAGTCATATCAAAGGTGACCCCCGCAGGTCCCACTTATATTAACATGTACTACCTCCCGGGAAACTCTTTTGTGCCATCTTGAGTAACCCAACCAAGACTGTTCACTGGTTAGTTATTATATAAAATTTTGAGGCCTTTGAAGATTGATGGCTTTTTGGTTGTGTGTTGAGCATAGCTCAAAACACATGTAAACGAGCAGCTTGCATGCATGCTTTTTTTTTTTTTTTTTTTTTTTTTTGCCTTTTATCCTCTTGTATCTGTGGACAGAGGTGGTAATCAAGATCATGGATACTGCTGGAGGTTGATGGGCCCTTTGGGAGCTGAGTCATTTCAACTCTGCTCTGCCTGCCTGCCTGCCGGCTGGTAGACACATAAAAAAAATCTTCCTACCTAAGGGCATACTTGGGTTCTTTGACTAAGTGACACACAGGAGAGGTCCATCTGAGTTCTTTGTCACACATGTGTTAACAAACAAAATGAGCCACAACAGTAAAACACTTGAATAGACTGCAATGTGCTTTTTCCCTTGGTTTCTCATAAAAAAGAAAATGAAACGCCTTGTACAAAAAAGAAAGGTTACACTTTTACTGGCTGTTTTAACAAGAGAGAACTGCTTTTGGCAATGATCACTAGCTTCAGACCAGTCCCAAAAGGAAAGCAGCTTCGGGGGCATAGGCTGAGGCCCCTGCAGAGGGTGGTTAACAGCGCCCTGCTCCTCCTTCCAATCTCTGTTTTCCTTCATGTCCAGACAGACAGATTCTGCATCTGCCAGGCAGCCAAGCCTCCTCCATCTTCACTGTCCCATTGGGTTCATTTCCAGGCTCTCAGGTAGGGGGAAGTGGACTGGACAGGAGATGGGTCACGACAGGACACGATTTACAAATGGTTGACTCTAACTTGGGCTGCATAGAAGCAGTTTAGAACTGAAAAGGAATTTCACTGCAGAAAAAGTGTGTTCCTCTTGGCCCCTCCTATCTGTTTATTGTTGAATGTGTCTAATCTTTGGCAGCATAGAACCGATTGTGATCCTCCAATGCATCTCTGAAGCGCTGGCCTTCCTTTCTCACTCTTCCCCTTAGGTACTCTTGCAGCTGTCTCATTACAGAATACAGAATATTTCTGGTATAAACTGGGTATCCCCATGAGGCATCCTCTTGAAGCACTCAGTTGGCCTCTGGTGGCAGCTGGACACAGCTGGCATACAGATAGACCTATCTTTTTCCATTCTCTTCCAACGCTTCTTTTCCACAGGAATTGCTTGTGTTGGCCTCCCTGACAGTTCCTGGCCTGGGGCTGTCATGGCAAAGGGAAACCACCAAGGTGCCATTGAGGATTGTTGTCTGGCTCTCTTGCCCAGAGAGCCAGGGGACACACAGTGGGATCGGAACCTTCCAGAATGTCTCCTCAGTCAGGTTTTTGAGGATGAAAGGGATATGGAGACAGGAGAAAAAAGTGCCGAGGGCCGAAGCTGGTGCAGGTGACAGTGTGTCTGGGTAAGGCAACTGAGAGGCAGTGAGGTGACTCAGAATGGCGTGCGACGGTCAGAACAGGCCGGGCTGGCTCACACGAGGGTCCCGGGCTTGGCTTTTTCCTGTCCGTACCATTGGACATCAGCTAGCTCTGGATAGAGGGAGGAATCCAGGAAGCAGCTATCACTGTAGCTCCTGTGGACCCAAAGAGAGATGACAAAGTTAAAAGGAAGCAGTACAAATGGGTGTGTATTCAGGGTGCATGAGGAGGGACAGGCCCTCCACAGATGGATGGTCTTCCCTGCCCCACATAGGTGAGACGCAGCAGTCTCCATGGCACTTGCTGAATGGAAGGTATTCAGAGACCATAAGATCCGGGAAATGCAACTTAATACTCAGTGATCATGTGGGAACCTCAGAAATGCTCATGTCCAGGACTGAGACTCACTATGCTGCTATTGGCCTGGGGAATGCTGAGAACTTTCAAAGTCCCATGCATGATACACAGATGTAGCCAGGGCCGAGGAGCCCCTGGGGCTGTATTCCTCAGGCTGACTTCCTACATGACAGTCACTGGCTTGCCTTACATCAGACCCAAGGGTACATTGCGATTCTGTGGTAAATTATCACTGTTCTAGAAGAACAGTCAAAACTCAAGCCTAACTTTTTCGGTTTTGAGACAGGGTTTTTCTGTGTATCCCTGGCAGTCCTGGAACTCGCTCTGTAGACCAGGCTGTCCTTGGACTCACAGGGATCGGCCTCCCTCTGCCTCCTGAGTGCAGAGATTAAAGGCTGTGCCACTACCAGCTGACTATGCTTTTAAAATCAATAATGTGATTTTATAAAAGTACTTTTGAAAACACAGTTGGGAATGGGCCCATAGCGCAGTGGTAGAAAGCATGCTTAGTATATAAGAGTCCTGTGCTTAGTGCTCAGCACCAAAATTAGTATAAAGTAAAAATATAGAAAATATACAGAGAAGAAATAGCAAATTCTTTGGATAAGTATTATTAGTAGGTTAGATGGGTGCAATTACTGAGTGTTAACAAATGCTCACACAGATAAGTGGCTGCAGCCCTACTCATTTAAGGAGGTCTCAAACTGTCCCTAAGCTATCCTTCAGTTCCCATGTCTGGTGTCAGGAGGAGATGCCATTCTAAAGAGCAAAGTCCATGAAAGCTAGAAAAATCCCAAGCCATCTCTGGGTATTCTGGTAAGCTTCCATGACAGCCTTGTGCTTGGAGTACTGGAAGTACATGAGGTTAATTCTGATTAATGTAGCTTTAGAAGCAAAGGCCTTAGTTATGATGGTCATGGGCGTCTGTGTATGTATCTGTATTTTGGGGATGAATGAGTGGATGATTCCGTTATACTCATTCTGCAAACATTGTCTTCCCCACTGCAAAACTAGCTTTTGTAAATTGTGTCAAAAGAACCAAGAACTTTTAATGGGAAAGGTGGTTGGACTCTGCTGGAAACATGCCCTGCTCTGGGGAAACAGTCCCTTCATAGTGCTCTTATGCCTACCAGAAGGAACATGGGACCTAGGACTGCCAATTAGTTCTCCAGTCACAGTTACTGGCTCAGAAATGGCCAAGTAGCTTTGAAAGCACGAGGATATTTATTTCCTCAATGTGGCTGGAAACAGCTAGTGAGCTCTGGCCCTAGCTTTGCCTCAGCTACCCAACTTATACATGCTCATTTGCTTAAGCTTATCGAGTTGACTTTGCTTTCCTATGCAGCAAATACTGGTATGCTTCCTAGATTCTTCTAGAAGTGTGTTTCTGATACAGTTGTGATGTGGGCCTCCTAGGGAATTGAATACAAGGAGTCACACTAAGGAGTGTTTCAGAAGGGACACCTATGAAGGGCAGTTAATAGTAACTAAATATTGAATGGTGCATTATCTCCATATCTACTGTTAATTGAGGACTAGAATTTAATTTACCAAGCCAACTTGGCTGGACATATTTGGGTTACTGAATAGTGCTGTAAGTCAGTGGTCATAAAGCCAGGGTGATACGACCTCTGTGTCATCATGACTCAGTTGGCCAGGGTGTGAGCTGCTACCTAGCAGTGTTATCTTTAGTTCATTTTCAACTGATTCAACCACATTCCCATATGAGTTTTTAAGTATGCTTCTCAGGTCTCTACTACATCCCCATCACTCAGCACATTTTAATCCCTTCATATTGGAGGAGATAAATGACTCAATCCAAAATTGTTGCTATGAATGTCATTCTCAGCCCTTTCATTGTCACCAGATGAGCTATCCATCTTCCTCCCCTGCTTTCCTAATCCCCATTTGGCCAACTGTAAAAATTGCTCATGGTCTTGTCCTATCCTACAGTCCAGGCTAAAGCTCTTGCTTTACTGCAAAACAGAATGTTTTGCTCTTCCCCTAAGAGCCCTGCTTGAATCCCACTTGTGGGTTTGGCTCTTGAAATGGTTTCTCTGCCTCCCTACTGCACTGTAGTTCTTTAAAGCCAGGCTCTTGAAAGTGTGTATGAGAACTAAAAGGCATTTTGTCTCTGAATCTTTTTCAGAATTTTCATTTTAATTTGTAAAACACTCAGATATTCTTATGTGGCAGTTTCTTACTCAGGGCTCAATTCTGGTTTGTTTGTTTTTTTGTTTTGTTTTGTTTTGTTTTGCTATTTTTTTTCTTACCATTTTAGTGATCCCTGGTGTGCTTTTAATTTCAGTGCTGTACAAATAGTTACTTAAATTTTCAGGTCCCACTGCTTTGTGTTTGTGATAGTAGTGCTTTACAGATTGCAGCGTGTGGTTGATTGAGTAGCCAAGGTGGTGTCTGGGAGTCCTTCTGAGCTCCCGAGTGGTGGTGGTGCTTTACAAACCACATTTTGAAAAGCGGGACTCTATGACATTTGGTGCAACATAAACAACTGTCACTGAAAAAAAAACCTCTAGGATGCAGTTACAGTATTTGGGGGACTTTAAACACCATTGCTGCAGTTTCCATGGATACTACTTACAAACCGAGGAAACAACAAACCTCTACAAATACTAAATATACTATGGGGGTTTCTTCTGGGAAAGAGAATGGGGACTATCCTACATCTGATGTAAAGACACACACCCAAACATATAGCTCCACATGTATCTAGAAATAAAACATAAAAATAATAGCTTCCACACCATTCAGACATTTCCTACTGGAAACTATGACATGGGCAGAAGCAGCACATATTCAGGACATCTGGATCACACACTCATGGGCAGTAAGAACAAAACGTTCCCTTACAATACCTCTATTCATCAGTACTTTGGTGAGTTGGAGACTCAGACCCATCCATGATGGGAGAGTTTTCTGTTGCTTCTCTGAACAAAGGAAAGCGGAAGGAGGAAGAGAAGAGAGTTCATGTTACATAGAGGAACTGGCACACACGATTAGTAGCTTATGAACACACTGGAAAGACCCAATGATTATATGCCCCATGTGTCTGACGCAGTAAGAGTCACGCGGAGCTTTCAGTCTCTATCACTGAGGGACAAGACCTCATTAGTTATGTTAGGAAGGCAGGTAGTGGCAATTTTTACCCATTGTCTTGTTTTCTTATCACGTTATTCTTGAATATTTCATAATCTGGCAAAACACTGGACTTCAAGGACGGCATCCTTTTGTTTCCAGTTTGTCTTGGGCCCTCACTGGCTCCAAGTGGTAAAGGAGGCAAGTACAGGGGCTCACTGGAGTGAGATGGATGCTTGTAAATTTCAGAGCCTATTTATTAGACAAGTGATACAGTCATGTAGTTGGATCAGATAAAATTGGACATGGCCCAGAAGCTATTTGGATGATTTGGTTCAGCCACTAGAATTATACAGATGTGTCATTCTTGTTTGAATTTCCTGGGAGACTCTTAGACCCCAAGCCAAGAAGCTGTCTGGATTCAGAGGTTATAGTTGTAGACAGGATGGTATGAATAAGTGTTGTCAGCGTTTTGTATTTTGTATTTGTATAAAAACAGAGAGGTAGCTACTGGCAAAAGCCACACTGAGGACATGAGACTACAGCTATAGTTGTAGACTGTATGTTTTTTAATTTGATAAGAATAAAGAAGCAGCATGGAGTGGTTCCGTGGGTGTCCAACCATTGATCCTAATGACCTGAGGGCTCATTTAAATACACCCAGTGGGTCCACCCCAGAGCTTCTGATTTAGTCACTTTTGGGTAGGCCCAAGAAGATCCCAGATGAAGCCCAAACTGATGGTCTAGGGTCCACATTTTAGGACCTACCAGAAAAATATGAGGTGTGTGATTTATTTTCTGTCTTATTTTTGAATCCAAAAGATCTAGATACTGCCTTTGCCAGGGAGTAGACAGAGTTCCAGAAAAGTCATTTATGTTTGAAGAAGCTGTTGGCCTGTGTGTTTGTGTAAGTACCCAGTAAATGCTAGCTCTCTTCTTCTCCACCAAAAAATGAAGGTTCTAGAAAAGGCTTGCTCTTAACTCTCTCTAGATAAATGTGGAGGGGTGAAGATGCCAATGTGGGAGCCTGAGCAGTCAGTGGAACCAACTGTGGGGCTGTGGTTTTCTTATAATTCAGCTCACAGCTGTCAGATTTTCCCAGACATGCTCACCAGTGCCTAACAAAGCAAAAGCTAAGGATTGAGCTGGATAGGGGACCTGTTTCCAGTAAACGACAGGTGTTGACAGAATGTAACATCTAAGAGGCAACAACGGAAGACAGGAGTGGGGTACTAAGTGACAGCCTGTGATAAGAACAAAGCAGGATGCTTGTGTCTGCTTGACCCTTTGATGGATCAGAGCATCCTAACTGGCCACAGCTTCTTCTGCCCTAATTCCACTCTTAAAGCTACAAATGAGCCGACTTCCGGTGTCATAGGCTGAATCTTCTGTCCCTGTGTGCAGCCTCTACTCAAAGGTCTCAAGGTATAGCAGTCTTGCTTTGCTGGTGAAGAACAATTGCTTAGCCTAGACAGGAGCCCCCCCCCTTTTTTTTTCAGGATGCATCCCGGTATTTAGACAGTGACCACACTGAGAAGCATGTGCAGTATCTGGCTCAGGGTACTCTCTCCCACCCTTGACAGTTTTGTTTGGCATTTCAAGTTGGCCTGAGAAAAATCAAATGCTGTCTGGAATTGAATCCATTTCTTTGTTTGCCTTCCTACATCCCAGACATCACTACCTACTTTTAAATAGAACCACATAGAATTCATCACCATCAAAGACAGTAGGCCAGCTGGGGAGAAGGTGACAGCAATACAGGGAGACTCTTTTGAAAGAAAGCATGAGCTGTCTTGGCAGTCGTTTGCTGATGCATCCTTCCATCACTGGGAACTCAGTGCTGATGATGCTTTTCCTAGCTAATACAATTTAGAGCCCAGAAAAACCATGTCAACAGCTTCAAGGGACAACTCACCCAGTCTGCCAGGTCAGGATGTGGTGGGGACTGCTTGGTGGGGTGGCTCCAATTTCACTTGACGGTGTTGAGCTTCTCTGGCTTTGAGGTAAGGCAGCTGTATAGTTGGGGTGGGAGAAGCAAGGGAAGGCAGGTAAGACCAAGGCACTCAATGGCAAACTCAGTGGCAGAGCTTCAACCATTGCCAGACATGACCTTGTAGGCAGGAGCTCAGTGGCCCCAAGACACAGGATGGCTCCCCCAAATGCACAGAATGGGAAGCCCCTATGTTTCTGTGGTGGAGACCTGAGCATGGAGGGCTGCTCATGGCATTGTAGATGTGACTCCTATGTGAGGGTCATGCTTTATTGGAGGAAGGGCCTCCAGAAAGTCCTGTGTTGTCTCAGACTTACCAGCTGCTACTTCAATAACCCCTTCAAATGAACATTTGTAATGCCTCAGCCAAATGTAGGCATTTACTAGTGGTGGAACACACAGAAATCTAGTTAAGAGAACTCAGCACCAAATAAATTCTACCTGGACTAGTCCTTTGCATTTGGGGCAGAATGGAATCCTTTTCTTCTGTCAACCTCAGATACTGTTTACTAAAATCTTAGTACTACCTGCCTGCTATCATTTAGTAAAGCATGTCCCCACAAACACAGCAATTTTGAGAGTGTGAAACATTCCTATCCTTTGGCCATTGGTACTTAACCACTGGATCTAAGAGGACCAGAAGTGATCATGACTTTCAGATGGCACACATAATATAGCCATTTTCAGAATCTTGCTGGGAAGCCAGTGGCTTGTTTTACAGCTCAATAAGCAGGGCAGAGGGGAAAAAGTATAGGACCTTGCAGTCCATGGTGCACCCAGGACTGTGTAGATTTGTCATGTGTGCCCTAATGAAAAGGGCAGTGGGGGTATGGAGGCAGAATGCGCTACTTCTCCTTTCGGGTGACATTCATCCCCAATTCTTGGTTTTATGCTTGTATTGCTTACTGTTTGTCTCATAACTCCCCTCATTTTCTGCCGACTAGAGTCAAGGGTTGCAGTATTTGTGTTCACCACTAGTGTCTAAGTGGTATGAGTGAGTGTACAGAGCATTACCGATGTAGCAAGTAAGTGCTCAGCTAATGTTGGTTACTAGCATTGTTATTTCATACAGAAATGTCTTAGGGGAAGGGACGGTTCTTCCTTCTTTTGCTTGATTTGGCACTGCGCAGTGCTTTGGGTTCAATCCTCAGTGGGACACAGTATCAAGGATACTGAAAGCACCTTTGTGGTTTCTGTGAAAAATGACTTTGTGATGGTATCATAACATCATTGGAATAGAAAGCCAGGAGCAGCCAAGCTAACTATATAGGACAACTGTCAGGTTTAGAGAGCAAACACTTTTTTCCCTGGGGTCTCAAGATCCAGGACCAACCTTTCTTGGCAAGGTTATTACTTGGGTCTCTAACCTACTAGAATTTTTCTTCACCAGGAAAAAGGTGCACCCTTGGCAGGATAAACATCACATGGCTTTGTCTCCTTAACTAGAAGAGTTAATGGTAAGATCGCTTCTGTACCCTTACCTTAATTAAACAACACTAGTGTTGGGATAAGAGCCACGGGCTTCCCACATTGCACTGCAGGGGCTCCAGAATAAATGAGTCCCTTTCTTAGCTGCAAAATCTAGGCAACCTACAGGCTACCCAAGTCAACCGCAGTCCCACCACTCTGCTCACCTGACGTGGCCTTGCACATCTGGGGCATCCGGGTGACCCTGCTGTGCGCCACGAAGGTGCTCTGGGAAGAGGTGCTGTACTGAGAGCCGCTGTCCGAGGAAGTGGAGCTGGTGTGCGAGAGGCGGCTGTGCTCCTTGTGCGAGGCTGTGGAGCGCTGGTACCACTGGCGCAGCTCATCTGATACTGCAGCACGGCCAGAGCCTTTGTCATGGGTGCCATCACGCCCCAACGAAGGAGTCCGCAGGATCTGGGAGCGCGAAGGTGTAAGGCGGCCTGCATCGCCCTCGTCACCACCCCCACGCCAGCTCTCTTTGAACAGGCCGCCAGCGGTGTAGGAATTGGAGGTCTTGAACTGTGCCTTGACGCTGTAGTGGCCCTCCTGGTCACTCTCCAGGCTGCGCACCACAACGGGTGTGGCGCTGCCCTCAATATACAGTGGGTACTCCTTGATGCGGTACTGCGAGCTCGGCTGGCTCTGGCTGTGCAGGTACACGCCACCACCACCCGCGCCTGCAGCCCCGCTGCGTGCTGCCAGGTTGGGCATGCTGCCGGAGCTCGCTGAGCCCAGTGCGCCTGCTGCCCGCTGCCTCTGCCGCTGCCGCTGGCGCGCCTTGGACGGCGAGTCCTCAGCCAGCGTTGAGTAGTTGGCGTTCATCTGTGCCGGGTAGTAGTGTTCTGAGCTCGAGTGGCTGGTGCACGACGAGCAGTCATCCATGGGGTCCGAGCCATTGCTGCTACGAGTCCTCGGAGTGTAGAAGTCCGGGCTACCGGTGTCATTCTCTGAGCCCAGGAGCTTGCCCTGGGACTCCAAGCTGGAGCTCCGATGCCTAAAGTGCAGTGCAAGGCTGTGCAGTCTCGTGGGACTGATGTCTACTGACCTGTGGGGAAACGCAGGGTTAATCTTGGGGTTCTGAATCAGAGGGTCCCATGAAAGCCACAGGGCTGGAGTGTAAAAGGCCTAGGGGGTTCAGGGCTTCTAGCCAAGGGGTTGCCCTGGAAACCCAGGTACTTCCCTAGGTCCCAGGTGAGGAAGGGAGCTAAGAGTCCCTTAGAAGAGGAGCCAGGGAAGTGGAAGCACTTCTAGGATTCACACACAAGGTTTCCTCTAAACAGTGTTGACCAAAATAGGGCTTTGTAAAAGGAACAGGGCTTTTGCTTCTTAGAACATAGTAATTCTTTGGTTCCCTAAGTATCGTGTTAACCCCTTTAAAATGCTGATTGTAGGTAAAACAACCCCTCGCTGGGAACAAGTAGAACTACTTAGAAAAAGAACGTGATTCAGTGAAGTCTGTTTTCTGTTCATTTCCTTTCATTATAAATAAATACCTTGAGGCATTAAAATGAGTCCAGAATAGATGCAAGCTTCATTAGAAAGGTCTGTTAGGAATGGGGAGCAAAGATTAACCTAGGGTGTGTAAATTTGGTGAATTCCTACATTAACTGGACTAGATTTTCTGCCTCCAGTCTTGCTAGGATCCGTGTTAGCTCTCTCCAGGAGACTGTGATTCTCTGGCTTCACAAGTCCCCAGACATGGACAGTAGACTCTATTGAGTGTCCAGGGTAAAATAGGTAGAATCGAGCCTAACTCTGGCTCACCTGTTATTTGGGCTGCAATGTCTCACTGTATCAAGGTCTGGTCCAGAAAGGCAGGTAGTCTGAAGGCCCAGCAAACTTACCTTGTGGAATGAACGTAGTGGGGACTCCGGACACGCAGGTCTGGGGTGGATGGCATGCTAGACTGGGAATTCCAGTGTGGGAGGCCTCGGATGGGGCTGTTCTGCAAGGAGCTGCTTACTCCTGCCTCAGTACAGCTTCCTGTGCTGGGGAAGCGCTTGTGGCTGCTGCAAGCAGAGGAAAGCCATGCTGGTCACACTAATATACTGTGGCACCTTTCCCCAATGGTAGGGGCTGACTAGCTTGGAACAGTGGATCTAAACTGTAGGGAAAGCTTGCCCAGGACTCCAACTCTCACTGTCCCACTTGAGGGAGCTTTGTCCCCTGTGCAGTCAGCACAGGGTATTGTTTTCCAAGAAACAAAATACCTGTTCGGGCACCCTCTTGGGGCTGTGTAATTAAGGAAAATGAGGACAACAGAAGCAGACCTAAAATTTCTTCCAAGTAGTCATCTCTACGATGTTGATATTAACCTAGTAATGAGCTGCTAAAGTGCAGCTTGGCTCCAGAAATCAGCTGGAGGATGGTTTAGATTCTGCACCACCTTGGGGACCCTCTGATTGGACTCTCCTTTGCCATTCTGGAATACTGCTGACTACAATTTCCTAATTAATTCCTGTGGAATTTAATGGCATTAAAGCCATCTGCCAACAGGTTGATTGTGAGCCAAACCCTTGTGCCCCCGCCCCCCCTTTCATGACAAATCTGTACTTCTCTGAAACTGACAGCAGAGGGCTTTGTGAGCAAAGCTGATCTGTAAGTCCAGGAAGGAAGGGAGTATCCTCTTCAAATATGGTGATGTGTGGATGCTGTGTGGGGCCACCCTTTGATTTTACCCAAGCGTGGCCGGAGACCTCATTTGGGTTTCCCGACCTGACTCACCTGGAATGACTGTGGGAGGAGCGTTTCTTCACCTTCTCATAGGGCTCGTCTAAAGAGGACTCACTCCACATTTTGGGCTTTAAGGGTGACTTGTCATAGTCAGTGCGGTGATAGTGCATCTGCCTGAGTCCCTCCAGGGACTGTGGGGGAGGAGGCCTGTTGTGCGATGATGGTGGCCGAGGAGGAAGTCCCTTGTGTGGAGACTGGAGGGGGGATATTGTGCTGGTAACCTGAGAGTCTTCTGCATAGACAGAAAGAGGAGGAACAACTGCTCAGAGGCCTCATTTCCACAAACGCAGAGATTTGTGGCAACCCACTACATCAACACCTTGGAGCTACACATCAAAATATGTACAAGGAACCTGCTGACCGTGCCTTGACTACTGGTCAATCCAAGTCAAGGCAGAGCCTTGTACAGGGCAGTAAATATCACTTCTAGTTAAGTATGAAGAAAGTCTGATTGGATTCAGTGCCACCAAGAAATGCCACTACATACTCAACAGGCAAATGTAGTATTTAATGTTCTTTTTTTTAAAATTGGTGCTGAGGAATGAACCCAGGGCCTCACATGTGCTAAGCAAATGCTACGCATGGAGCTGTGCCATAATTTATGTTTAAAGAGGCACTAGACATATCTCATTTGCTTTGGGGAGAGGAGTTAACCTCCCTGAGCATTTTATCTGCTCTGTAAATCTGTGTCCTCAGGGGTAGAATGACAGCTGGCACCCAGTAGGTACTCAATAAATATTTGTTGGAGGAAAAAAAATGAATTGAAAGTGTATCTGTCAAGTATAATTAAGTACTGGCTGGTCTCCCTCACAAGCTACTTAAATTCTTTATAATCCAATAGCACCCTACCCCGCCTTCTCTGGGGTACAGCTTAGCACATCTGTATGCTAGATGACTTCCAAAGGCAACAAATCCACTTAGTCAAAGAAGGAGATGTCTCACCAGGCATAGTGACTCTTGCCTGTGATTCCAGCAGTGGGTAGAGACAGACAAATCAGCAGTTCAAGGCCAGCTTAAGTTACATAGTGAGTTCGATGCCATTCGGCGTTACCTAGGACCTGGTCCAATTATAAACAAAACAACAATCCCCAACTCAAAGGTGCTGTCTGGAAGGAAATGAGCTCTGGGCAGGCAGAGGAGGAAGGAAACAGTAGAAATGTGGAGGTGGGGGGGAGTGGATATAAGCAGGAGGTGCCACTCAGCTGGAGGAGAGGGCAGAGCCAGGGAGGGAGGAATTCTGAGCCCAGATAGCAAGAGACCTTGAATTCTAGGGCAGGAGTTGATATTTGGCTTAAAAGCTACAAGAAAACTTTGTTAAGTATAAATGTGGCAGGGTGAATATCCTGTTTAAGAACTACTGTTCTGGCAATTTTCACCTGGGAAAAGTGACAGGACAGAGTAGGGAGGGTTTATGAAGAGATATGGTGATGGGAACCTGAGGTATGGAGGGAGGGGATGCTCTCAGGAAGGGGGTGGGGGCAGGCTAGAGGAAAATCCCACCAACCATTCATGGGATCCTATATAGGTTTTTCCACTCTTGGTTTTTTCATAGCCTAATTCTCAATCCCCAAAATTCAAAGGCCAAATATCTTCTCTGGTCTACCCCCTGCTTGCCCCTCAAATCAGACAGGAGTCCCTAGCAAGCAAGAGCCTCAAGGGGGAACACAGAACACAGGAGGCAATTACAGTTCTCAGGACAGAGGCCTAGGACATGGGGGCAAAACTGTAATCATGATGTCTCAAAATTAGCTAATGACTATGTACAGCCCTGGAAACTACTAGCACAAGGGAACTTCATCAACCCTTTCCTTCCTTGGCAGACTAGGGTGGCAGAGATCAATGGTAGGACTGGGGGGGGGGGGTCTCATATTCCAAACAGGCTTCTGTGTTCTCATGGAACACCATGTCTTCCCCACCCACTTAATGCAGCAGACAGTAAAATTCCACCATCTGATTTCTAATAGCAAGGCCAAGACAGCTGGGTGACAAGCTCCTCAGGCTTTCCCCACATCAAGAGCAATCGTTATTATTGTGGCAATTATCGTTATTACTGTGACTTGGGTAGGCCTTTTATGTTTTCGGTCTCAATAGCCACTTACCACTAGCTGCCTGAGGTTTTCCAAGAGGGCAAAAAAATTAACTACCAGTTAATAGATTCCCATATAATTAGTGCCCTCATCATGCAAGGTTTTGGTTTAGCAACCACAGGAATAGCTTAGAAATTGTTCTAAATCTGGAATGCTTGCTTCTGCTGGAGGGGCAGGAGGAGCTTTCAACTCTGACTTTCTAAGAGCTGACCAAGAAAATATCCTGGCAATTGCCACATTTGAGAATTCAGCATGAAATAAAACACCAGTTTCCGGTTGTCCATGTCACTAAAGGGAAATTCCCACTCCTGTTTCAGAGAGGAGCAGATAGGCCAACCCTTCTTATAGCTAGACCTGCAGTAGATCCCAAGCGTTTTGTGTAAACGCTTTCCTTGTATGTCAGGCTTCGCAAAGGAAGATGCACAGGATGAAGGCTCTATTCACATTAAAAAAATATTGTGTTCACCCTCCCCCTGGCTTTTTTTTTTTTTTTTTTTTTTTTTTTTTTTTTTTTTTTTCCTGGGGATAAAAATGAGGATAGAACTCAGGGCCTTGCATATAGTCAAGTGCTCCAGCACTGAGCTATACTCACTCCCAGGCTGTTTGTTTTTATACAGAGTCAACTTCTTATATGGCTCAGGTTGGCCTTGAACTTTTGATCCTCCTGCCTCTGTTTCCACCTCTCATGTGCTGGGGTTATAGGACTAAAGCTCCCATGCCAGCCAAAAAAATGCTTTGGTTATTACAAAACAAAATAATTACTTCATGAATATCATTTGGGGTGTCCAACCTCTTTGGGCCCCCTTGAATCAAGAATAATTCTCTTAGGCCATACATTCTAGTAGTGTCCAACCCATGGCCAACAGGTTACCAGAGCATGCACATGTGTATTTTCTATGCTATTGGAATGCAAGAGCTACATGTGGCCCATGGACTGCAGATTGGATAACCCTGGAAAACAAGTGTCAAGCCCAAAACAAGCCCAACAGTGACCCCTTGGGAAGGAAAGAGCCTACAAGGAGTCCAGTTACTGTCTCAGCCTGCCTCTTTCCTGCCTATAAGGCTATTATTCCCAGGCTGTGTACAGAATAATCCGGGCTTAATCTGGATTCAGCATTTAAGAGCAGGGAATGGAAGAACATACCATCTTCAAGAACAAGGGCATCAGAGAGGGAGCTGTCTTCACTGGCAATATTTCCATCTAGAAGACAAAAGTGAAAGTCTATATGGTTAACACGTTCTGCAACAAAGCCCTATGAGCAGGAAGGAATAACCTGCTCCTCTTCTCCATCCTGGCAACACTCTTCCATCTTTTTTACATCAGCAAGGAAAGAAGCCATAAAACAAAGATGTTGTTGGGTGTTTCCTTTGACAGTCCCTGTGGTGGGTTGTGAGCACACCCTCCCCACCCCAGCTCTGCAATGGATCCTAGTCTTTGTGTACTTATGCTCTTGCTCATCAGATACTGAGGCTTAGCATGTCATGGAAAGGTGGTGGGGCCTGGTTAAGCCACATCATTGTCCTAGAGCAAACTCCGGGCAAGTACCAGCTGAACCAAAGAAGTCAGCAGCTGTTATTCAACAGATACGAAACTAGGAGAGGGAACTTACTTTTGCTCACATGGTGATAAATGGTTTCTCAATAAACTTGTCATTAGCAGAGAAAACAAGCATGTTAAATACAGACTCCATCTCTCCAAAGCTTATTTTTATAGTCACCATTCAATTAGGAACATGCCTGAGAGGGAGACAGTAAAATAATCCACCCTCCCACTGGGGAAACTGAGGTACAAACCCTCAGGAAAGAGGGTTTGTCCGAAGTGACTCCATTCTCTGGGAACCGCCAGCAAAGAAAGGTTTAAAGTCTTCAGATTCTGAAGTTTTTTTTTTCCAGGGATCTAATGAGTTTGCTCACTCCTAACATGGCTGGACCTCTGTGATGAAAACATTACTTCACTGTGGCAGCAAAGCAGGGAAGGCGGGATTCTTGAACAGTTAAAACATGGCTGGAAGCTTGCTTGCAAGGAAACAGGAGCTGGCATGAGGAATGTTTTAAAAGCCAGTGCTGCCAGCAGACCCAAGAATAGCTTTCACTCAGGTGGGCCTCAGAATGGGCTCCCCGAGGCCACATGGTGAGACAGGCACCCTCAGGCTGCTCCTCCCAGACATAGCTCTGATGGTTCTTCTAGATGTTTGTACAGAACAGGGAAGTTCAAATGCCTTTGAGGAGGTCCCAAAGGAGGCAATGACAAAGACTGATTCACTGTAGCCCTGTTAGAAAGTGTGGGTAAGTTCCATTTTCATGGCAAAGGACAACAGAATGAGATATAGAAAGATGGGCACTTCTGAGTTCCTCGAGCCACAGGATGGTTTTTATGGCCAGCCCATCCCAACTAGAAACTTAACTTTTTCCCTATTATTTGATAGATGAACTCCAAGGAGATGGAGGGCTTTGACTTTGATGTCTTGTAATCTCCAGTCCACCACTGCCTTCTTAACGTAGTTTTTTTTTTTTTTTTTAGGAGATAGTTCTATATCTCTATTACACATAACACAGGTTATCATTCTCACCATTTTAAGTGTTCAGGGCCTTAATTACACCAACATGATTACAAAACCACACCACCAGCCATCTTCTTCGATAGGGCTTTCATTTCTCAGCTGAAAACCTTGCACTGGCCCATCCCCACTGCCACAAAGCTCCTGGAAACCTCTGTATTGGTTTCTGTCTTCTTAGAACTAAGGTATTTTCAACACACATACCCTCTGGGAGAATACTAGTATATATTATCAAGAATTCAATGGATTAGAGAAAAGATAACAGGGAGAGAGATTTGATGCTTGGTGGATTTGAAGGTATTTCCTTCTAGTTTACCATCAATGTCTGAGTCTGGATAAGAACACATATTCCAGACAATCCATGAGGGACAGTCCAACCCTTCAAGCTATAGTTCTTGAGATAAGAAGCTCCAGGTAATAGAATTAGCTTGAGGGAGACAGACTGGGGACACGGTAGTGTCTTCAGGACTTAGTCCAATGTTCCAGCTATGCACTTTGTCTTCCAGTCTTGGGAAAGGAGTTAGGTCTCTGAGAACTACAGGGCTTCAGCTATGTTGAGGCTAAGCTGGGCTAGCACAGTAACCTCCATAGTTCCCAGTGACATTTGAAAAGAGAGTTGGTTCCCCCAGGAAGTGTCATTCGTGACATCGAGGTTCTATGTATGGTCTCCTTCATCTGTGCCCCCACACTGATTATTAGGATAGAGCAACCAGGTACCCATTCTCTTTTATGGATGGACAATAAGGTAGGTGGGTAAGAGGCTATTTGGATCCTGCAAGGATCCAGATCAGGACCTAACTGGACCTGGTTGTCGTGGAGCAGGACAGGAGCTTGTGGGTGGCACTGACCGTCTATGACTAGTGAGGCCCTCTGGGTGGGTTTCTTCCCTGACTTGATTCGGTTCTCGTTGATTGCATTTTCAATCTCCTGCAGCTTCTTCAGTGCGTTCAGATAAGAGGTTTTTCTTTGCTTCTTCAGTTTTTTGCTGACATTGGGGTCGCTGGCTAGGCGGCGGGCAGCCTCGGTGATCTGGGACTGAATTGCAAACTCCCGTTCCAAGCGTTCCAGCTCAGCTTCCTGTGGGAGGGAAAACAAATGCTTAGAGCTTCTGAAGATCCTGCTGCCCAATGAGACTTGCCTATCTCAAGTCCAGACTTCTGCCCCCGTGTTTCTGATCTTCCTTTTTCGCACCTCTACCAAGGTCTATTGAAGCCTAAGCCTTAGAGGAAATTCAGAGCCCGTTACTATTATTTTCTTTCTACTGGGGCATAAGACACAGCACGACTTCTACAACTTCCTCTTGGGTTTGTTCATGTGTGGACACCTCCTTATCCTCCCACACATGCCCTCTGTCATATATCTTTGTGTGTCTCATGTTAGGACTTTTGGAAGATCATTCTGCAAGTCCTAACTCTTCTTTTCACACTTGTGTGTTCATAAAAGCCCTTCTGGGCCCTCTAGGAGGCAAAGATGGTGTGGGGGTGGGTAGTGGAACCAGTTTTACCCCTGCTCCTTGGATAGCTTTTGGATTCTCTCCCTTCCTGCCTTCTTGTGCAACTCCTTCCCATCTCTCTCACGTCCCTTTATCTAGATGGAATCCCTGTGTTCCGGGCCTGGGAGAAATGAGGCTATGAATAACAGATATGCCTGGAAGACCCAGAAGACAGTACCCCGGATAGAGCATCTGCTGCTGGCCTACTGTCCAGATGTTTCCTCTGCGGATGTATATACACCAGGGAATGTTAGGAGTGGAGGCAGATCACGCATGTGTGTTAGAATCTGTGGATGAATGCGGAGTCCCCTTAAGTACAAAGCACTCTCGTTTCTTTATTTCTTCTCTTCCCTGGTTTTTATGCGGTGGATGTAAATCTTCCCTTGTGCTTGGCTCCCAGCTGCTGGCACTGTTTTACAAAGTTCTGTAGCCTTTAGGAAAGAGTCCCAGCTGGAAGAAGTAGATGGCTGGGAATGTGGTGTGGTATGAGGGGTTGGAGCTAACTCCTCCTCCTGCCCAACTTCTCTGTTTCCTGTCTGATGGGGAAGATTTAACAAGGTTCACCACAGGCTCCAGCCTCCAGGCCCTCCTCCATGATGAAATGACAGTCTTTGAAAGCATGAGCCAGAATGAAACCTTCATCTTTTCTGTTGCTTTTGTCAGGTATTTTGTCATAGTAACAGGAAAGTAAACTGTTGGAACTTTGGAACCACTTCATCAAAGCTGGCACTAAGCAGCAAGTTACTCTGGAGTTTGGTATCTGGTGGGTGCAAGGGCACTAGCAGCCTGGGTGTGTTCTGGAAACTCATAGGAGATACGGACTCCAATAAAGCCCATACAACATAATCCTATGCTGGCCACACAGTAGCTTCTCTCTTCCCAGTACTCACACATGACCACTGGAAACCATGTATCTTGCCCTAGATGGTTTGCACTTACATTAAAGTTTGTCAGGGACTGACCAAACTAAGGAAGAGGAGACAGCCATGTTTCCTGGATTCTGCCTAGTATGGTGGCTCAACAGTATGCCTCTGAGCACAATGGGCCAGGCTGGTGTGTGTGAAGGGTCTACTAAGGGAAATACTCTTTGCCTGATTTCAGTGACTTTTGAACACTTTGAGTCTAGAGGAGGCAGGAACGAGAAGTGGGAGGGAAACGTAAGGGCTAAAAGAAACCACTTAGAGAGACAATAAACTCTTTCCAAATCCTTCCAGTGTTGGCCAAACTTGTTTTCCCAGAGGAAGAAGGATATCAACATGGACTTCTGCCCAGAGCCCTGGGACAGGGACAAAACCCAGCCTGTGAATTCGGGCTCCCTGAAGCAGCTGTTTCTGGGTGGTTCTGATAGCTCTGGTCCAAGACACTGACCCTGAGATTTGCAGGCATCCAGAACAAGTCTTGATATTCTGACTGAGTCAAGGACAAGACTGAATGCCTTGTCTGTGGAAATGGTCAAATGGCTAGGAAAGCAAAAGGGTGTGCAGGGGAGCTGTGGCAGCACACACACAGCAAGAGTGGGTCCCTTCCCAGCAGGAGGAAGCTCTGCAGCTTTTATCTGCTCCTTTTTATGATTTTCAGAAAGATGCCCAGGGGCCAGCCCCGAATTCTCAGAGCTCTAGGGTCAGCTTTCTTGAAAAGTAGAAAAAACTAAAACAGTGGGAAGTTCAGGCAAGGAAGGACACTTGTTAAACATGGGGTGCTTTCTTAAAGCTCAAGTTGAGATGACAATGCAGCTTTGGAAGCTGTCTGACTGCATGGTGCTCTAAACCACTCCCCACTTTCCACATCTCATCTCCATTTCCAGCAGCTGTTCGCTGAGCACCAGGCAAGTGTTAAGTGTCCAGTGCAATGTTCTTCTAGCTCATTTAATCCTAGTGATAACCCAGAGAAGTCAGCACTGAGAACTTGAGCATATGGGAGAGGGAGTGGCCTGGCTAGGTATCACTTTGGATGAAGCACTTAGGTGTGCCCAGCAAGCTTCCAGGGATCTGTAACCACAAGCTTCAGGCATGGGCCTGAATTCATGCCCTCTGCCTTCACACTAACCTTATTTTAGGAGAATGTCTTTCTCCAAGTTCCTTAGAAAGCTAAAAAGACCTTGCTTTTCTTTCCCTTTGTGGTGGTTACTCTTAATTGTCAAATGTCTGCGAGGGATTGCCTAGACTAAGTTAATGGAGTGGGAAGACCCTCCCTAAATGTAGGTGACACCATTCCAAGAGATGGAGGAAGTGAGCAGAGCACCAGTGCTCAGCACTCTCTGCTTCCTGACAGCAGATGCGGCATGACCCGCTACCTCAGGCTCTTGCCCAAGCCTTCCCCACTATGGCTGTATCCTCAACTGTGAGCTAAAGTAAACTCCCCTCCCTCCCTCTCTCCCTCCCTCCCTACTTCCCTTTCTCCCTCCCTTTGCTCCCTCTGCTTTTGTCAGGACATTTTATCCCAGCAACATGAAAAATTAAGGTTCCAGGCTTTGAGTTCTGAAGTTGTCTTCTATTCACTATCTCTAATTGATATGAGTTTTAACTCTAGTCAGAAGAAATGTGGGAAAGACCTTGAGGTAAATCTGGCTTTTTGTTTCTCTTTGTCGAGCGCTGGAAACTTTGTTATCTAACCCCATTCCCTCAGACAGTTCCTTACTGTGTAGTTCTGACCATCCTGGAACTCACCCTGTAGACCCTGCTGGCCTGGGAGCTCACAATGATCTGCCTGCCTCTGCCTCCCAAGTGCTGGCTGGGATTAAAGGTGTGGGCCACCACACCCAGCTGAGCTTTGATTATCCTTTAAATATGAATTTTTCAGTCTCAGCCCTCACCATCATACCACCCAAAGAGAATAAAAATCATGTTGAAATATGGTTTTTCCAAAGACAGACAACTGAGGATAAGATGCATGTCCCATGCAGTGACTTCAGCAGCCATATGACTTTAAAAGGCAGAGGGCAGGCCCTTTTCTCCTTCCCTAGCCAATGAGAGCTGTGGCTGGAGATTCACTTCTTCCATGTTTCCTTCTACAGTTCAGGCATCAGGTAAGACCAAGAGTAACAAAGGGCTGGAAGGCCATTACAAGGTATATTTTCATGTTACTGGAATGTTCTCCCCAATCTTAACTGGCCACTTGCAAGTGGTCTACAGCGTTAGATAAATAACTTCAACAGAGTCCCATTGTGTACACTAAGGCGAGCAAACTCATCCTATAAAGAAAAACCATATAGCAACTAGCCAGTTCACCCAAGAAAGGGTAAAAGGGAAAACGGGCATTTGGAAGCAATGAAGAAATTACACAGAACCTGGCAATTCCAACAAGTGGGGCAAATAAGGATAATGCAGAAAGGATAATGGGAAGGACTACAACACCAGAGAAACATACCTCTCCTTTAGGCAGGATTTTCTGTTCATCCAGCTTGAAGGCTGTCCCAATTCTTCTCCGAACAATAGGTGGTTCCTCTCCTGGATCCAGGGGATATTCAACAGGCAGTTTGCCCGTGAGCTCCTGTGTGTGCAGAAGAACATTCAGAGAGGTTGGAGATCAGCAGAGGACACGCTTGTTTTGGTTCTAGGACACACTTCTGATGCACGTGGAAGGCCCGTTAGCGTTAGCATCTTGCCTAAATAAAGACTTCCTGATACAGCTGAACCTGATGACCCACATCTGCAACCTGGCTACTCAGGAGGCTGGGGTAGGAGGATCACAAATTCAAGACCAGGCTGGCCAACTAAAGAAACCCTGTCTCAGGAGACTCCTTCCAAACAAAATAGCCTCCTCAAAAAGATTTGCAGTTATAGTTCAGTGGCAGCGTGCTTGCTACATCTGAGTTGATAAGGAGTGGTTTAAGTCTGTAGCTAACCCACACTGTGGAAGCCAGACAGGATGTCACGAAGTCCCGCTCAACACCAGAAGAGGATGGAGATGTCACTTTGTGTATTCAGCAGGCATATCTGGGCAAATACCAGTTCTGGCTTTCTGGCCCTCAATCAGTACAGATACTACAATATGATACAAGAGGAGACTGTGGTGAGGAAGAACTCAGAAGTGTCCTCTTGAAACTCATCATCTACACAGAGAGCTTTTGTGTTCAGCAGCCCAGGCCTGAGTGCCCACAGCGGGAAAAGTCCATCTTGTGGCAGGCTGGCTACACTGGCATGTGTCTCTATGTGGTATGTGTGTGCACAAGCACCCCCTCCTGGGCCTCTTCTGTGTTCACAGCACTGGATATAGCTCCTTGGACCTTTTTTCCTTCTGTAGGAATTTTGGAATTTTAGAGCAGGATGGTCCCATTTGGATGACTGCCTCTGCAATATCCTCTCTTAAAAAAAATATGGTGCAAGTGTTTCTCAGATAGTCTTATGTTCATTCTGTGACTTCTTACCTGCTCCCTGCTTAGGCCTTCCACAAATAACAACCAGCTAAGCCTGTTATTTTAATATATAGAAACAATAAACTGTCAGGACTTCCTGTTCTGAAACTTATGAAAAGGCAAAGAGAGGTTGTTCACATTGCCATGGATTTGTAACTCTAACGTGTTTGTGGTTTCAGTCTATATTTTTAAAACGAGGCTACCGATTTTCCACCATCTGCTTGAAAGTACTCAGGTCAAGGTCTCGACTCTCAGGATATTTAATCTGATTTCATAGGTAACCAGAGCCCGCATGGTGGGAAAGTAATTTAATGCGTGGCAGTGGGCCCTCTTGCTGTGGAACTCTCAGAGCTCCCATACTGCCTCACTCTGACTGCTCTCTTCCCAAGGGATCAAACAGCATGTCCTGCTTCTTGAGCCTGGAGGATCTACCAGCAGAGAGTTAGCAGGGAGTCTCCCAGGCCCCTTTATCTCACGTGTGTCACAGCCTCTGATGGAAATAAACATACGTGCACAAGGGCCTAGCTTTGGGTTACTTCTACCTAAGTTATATTTTCTGTTTTCAAAGTTATAGGAAGTGGGATCTTTTGTTTTCCTTACATTGCATTTGTCAAACTTTTATGGTACATGCTGGTCTTGTCTTGACATGTTCCTCTCATGCTGTAATGTATATTCTTTGCTTGGTTTAAGGACTTCTCTTATTAAATACAAAACAAGGCTTTACAAATTATGAAAGGCAGACACCAAAACCCATGCTTTTTTTTTTTCTCTCCTTCAAGCATAGTCTTTATAAAAATGTTGCTAATATTTACAGTATCACATAGCACATTCCCCCCAGCCAGGCCCATGGCTTTCCTGATTTGCAATGGATTTGTGCTAATGTGGTTCTGCCTTGAGCGAGCTCCGGTTTAAATCAATCCAGACATAATTAAGCCAAGTTGAAATGTAATGTGATCTCACTCTACGGCCCACTGTTTCATTCTTCCTGCTGCAAAACATTCTTCTTCAGGGGGAGGGGAATTCACCTCCTGGATTTGGTTAGGGACCCTCTTTATACTTGCCATTCGGAACTGCTTACCCGAGGAGCGTTTGGTCATGGTCTGTGGAGCACAACCACTCCCAGGAGAGCAACCCCACACTGTGTTCAGTGAGCCACATGCACATGTGTGTGTGCTCACACACAACACACACTGTATGACTGTATGTGTTACACTAAAAAGTGAGGTCTAGAAGCACTGCTAATAGAGAGGTATGGAATAAACACTAGAAGGGAGGAATGGACATTTCAATAAATGTCGAAGTGGATTGTGGGAGCCTCTACAAGCTTAATGAAATTAGGACTGTACCAAAACAGGCAGAAGGAGACATTTTCTGTGTGGGGAGTGGGGTGTTCACTTGTCATAGGCTGCATGTGGGTGTCACAGGACAACCCTTGGGTGTCAGCTTTTATCTCCTGCCTTGTTTGAAACAAGGTCTCTTTTGTTGTTTGTCACTGAGTATGCTAGGCTAGTTGCCTCCCATCTCACCGCAGAGATTACAGGCGTGTTCTACTCTGCCAGGCTTTCATCTAAGTTTGCAGCTGAGGTCCTTACGCCTGCAGAGCACGTGCTTTATCCATTGAACCATCTCTCCAACCCAATGCAACTTTGCTTTTCATAAGACTTAACCGAATCCCTATGCTGGGTGCATAGCTCAATGGAAGAACACTAGCCTAGCCTGCCTGAGGCCATAGGTTCAATGCACAGTAGCACAAAAATAAAAAAAAACAAAACAAAACAAACCAACAAACCACCACCACCTCCCCACCACCACCAAACTAGGAGAAGATTCCATTTTCAAAAAGAGCTGAAGAAACAGTAGATCACCAGGTTTAAAATGATGACTATATATTTCAGGTGACATCCTATTGTCTTTGTTGATGCTACATTGTGTCCAAAGACAAACTCAGGAGAAGCAAAAGCTTCCCCAGCAATAAATTTAAGCACAAGCTCCAGTGAACTAAGACAGTGGCAGGACATTATATAGAAAGAGGCTGTGTCCTGTCAGGACACGCCCTGTATACTGTGGTATGCTATGCATGGTTTTGGGACTGTTAAAATGACTTGTCGTTCAGCCTCGGGGTGTGTGTGTGTGTGTGGTGTCATACATATCAGCTAGTGACTGCTTTAACTGACACTGGTTTTCCTTTGATACCTTGCTTTTAACAAAGTTTATCATTGGAGGTGTGGGTGTTTCCAACCCTGGGGAGGGAGAGCACTTGGTTTCCTGAAAATCAGTCTGTATTGTCTCCACCCTGTCTATTGTCCATTCCGAAGATGTACGACATGACAAACAACACAGACTTAATTGCTTACAGCTTCCCGGAGACACAATCTCTTCAGTTCCTCCAGCCTCTGGCGTAGTGTCTCCTCCAGAGCTTCCTGCCTGGATTTCAAGGCAGCCAGCATGTCTTTCTTGGCCGACTGAGAGCTATCTGATTCCTGAGAACCTGTCAATAAAGAGCAGGGTTACTAGGCCAACTGACAGGGGACACACATCTGGACCACTAATGAATTTCACTGGTGCTCACACCGAGGATATGGGGTTTACCCCAGGAATCAAGAGCGTGAAATGAGACAGGTGTGTGGCGTTCCAATCGTGAGGGGTGAATTCCAGCACCACATGGGATATATAGCTACTCAGAGGACTGGCAGGAAAGCTGACACTCCTGAACAAGAGCGCTGTCATTTCTGATTATCCTAAGACATGTCACATACCTGTTTTACTCTCACCAGCCAATTTTAATACATTTTACACAAGGAAGTGGGGAAAGTAAAGTTGAAGTAAATGTTAGTAATTTCAATTCAGGTTTTACATTTTCTTTTTGTCTACTGGAATTAGATTTTTGTTTAGTGCAAAGATATATCTGTTCATAGTAAAATATCTGAAAATATAGACAGGTATAAAAATAATTGGTAAACAAGTCACGCAGAGATAGCTAATCATATTATGCATTTTCTTTAGGCCTTTCCCCCAAAGGACACACACACACACATACACACACTAGAATTAGAGTTCTGCCCACTATTTTATCTTAGTGCTGTATCCTGAGAAAATTTGCTCCTAGTGGAAGGAATATAATATTGAGGGATGCATACTTTTCAAAAGACTTATAGGTATTTTCCATGCTTTCCTGCCTGGAATATCTGCATGATGATTCAAACAGCAGGCTGCTAGACATGGAAACTTTTTAGAAGGCAACACTGTGAACCAAACAAAAGAAAAGTGAGCTGAAAATGCCAACTGAAGGAACTTAGCTTAGATCAAAAGAATAATTTCAAGGCTGCAGTGTTTGGCTCTTGGAGCAGTTTTCTTCTAGTGGCCCTTTCTTCCTCAATGGGGTAGGGAGGCATACTGCTGTCCTAGAAAAAGACAGGCTAATGTCCGCATTTCTTCTTATGTTCACACAAGCAGAACTGTTAGAATTGAACAGGCATTACTGAATATGCATCGAGGGGGCTGAGACCATACCACCACCATCAGCACCCAGTCAGCCAACATGCCTAGAAAGCTGACTGTGGGTCTGTAAACTCAGTTTCTTAGGGTGCTGAGGCAGGAGGAATACTCATTCAGGACCAGCCTGGACTACAGGAGGCCAGTGCAGAAACTTAGATTAACATAGTTAAAGATGAACATCTCTACAGCTAAAAGTGTAACACCTTGCTGGGAACAAGTAGAGCTATAAACAGAGATGATTACTGTGGACATAGATCCAGATGTTAATGTTTTACAAATGTCAATTCACCATAAGTTAAACAATATAAGAAATATAATCTTAATAAAAATCCCAGCAGGACTTTGTGGCGGTGGGGTGGGTGTTAGGAACTGCATTTCCATAAGAGACAATTGAATCTTTGGATTCAATTGGTAAAGATGTCTCAGAATCCTAAGACATTAGAAGACTTCTGTGCCTTTGCATTGAACAACTCTGCTAGACCCAAACACCTATAAACATACTATCCAATTCTTTAAGGTCTCTCATCAGGAAACCCATATTTCCTTAATTCCCACTCTCCCAGATCCCTGTGATCCTAATAATGAAGAATTCTCAGTGGCTAAGTACAATTTGACTCTGGCTTAGGCTTTGTTCTGTTCCTTTTCTGGCCCATTTGAGCTTGAAATTGAAGCCATCTATCACTGTAAGAACAAGCCATCTTTGTGCATCCCCAGGAGCAAATAAATATTGTCTGTCCCATACTTGGGTACTATAATTAAATTGTATCTCATTTTAGTAAAAAAAAAAAAGTAATAATCCACTGCCTGTATATCATTCCGTTATGGAAGCTACCTTCCAAGTTCTGAATCATGTTGTAACTCATTCCTGAGTTTTTGACATGCTTTAGTTGCAGGTGTCCAAACTCAATAGCAAACTGCAGCAAACACTTGATGCTTGCTGAGACTCCATTACCTCATGGTTCTCATAGACTAAATCCAGATGTGCCATTCTCAGGTATTGCATCACTGGATCTTATTTCAGGCTCCCCCTTTTTACCAGTGGTTCAGTTTTTTCATATCCCTGGGCCCATTACTTTGTGCTTATCAACTCTAAACCCTCTCCAGGCTGTGTCCGTCTAATGCAACCTGGAAAAATCATTATGAATCTTAATTGGGCCTCTTAGTCCTCGCCACCAATCCCATTTGAAGACAGGAAAATTTAATGAGGCATTCTCTGTTCCATCCTCTAAAAAATTAATAAGGATGTAAAATGATACTGGAAGGAAGTCAGACTTTAAAAACAGGCCTGGGGAAAACTTGGGTCCAAAAAGATTAAAGAATTTCTAGCATGAGTGAAAAATTCATTGTTTTCCCTTCACCCCTGCCTAACCCTTCAATAGGAAATGATGATTTATTGAGTCAAATCGAAGAACTGGCGATGCTCAGGAACAGCAAAGCTCACCAAAACACTAAATTTTGGTAAGCAAGCATATAATTTGTGGATGACTGGTCTGCTGTTACAGGATTAGTAAAGACTTGGCCTTGAGTAGCAGGGTTCATTACTGCTACCTAAATTATTATTTCTAATAATTAACTTAAATCTCAACCCACATAAGATGGGATAGAGAGCCTTGGCACGCTTGATGGCTCCTGAGTCTTTCTTAGGTAGCTAGCACCCCAAATGCTGGCTGGCTCCTCTGTACACCTTGAGTCTGGACTTTTCTACAGGAGAAATACAGTGCCTGGAGACAAGGTTACACCTCTTCAGGTAACTGAACCAGGCTATTACAGACACACAGGTTTCCATTTTAATGGTAATTAGAGAGAAAGGTAGATGGAAAACATCTGGATTTGATAAAGGCCAAGCCATTTGTTAGATGGGTGGATCTTGAATAAATCACTTGCTCTTCTATCTCTGAGGTAAAGAGTGAATGAGATATTACCCATAAAACACTTAGCCCTGTGCCTGAACTAGGTAAAGCCTTCGCATGGGGGTTGACTTACCACAAGTGGTATAGAATTAGAGAAACCATTGACATTATCTCCCCCTTTCAATAAGGTACCCACCAAATTCAGTGTAGGTTAGGACTACACTATAGAAGCTCCATCTATAGAAAGATGTAATGACAGGTGGGGGCAGTATCTCCAGACCACATTTCCTAAGCTCCAAGGCTGCAGATCTGCCTCTGGGGCTACTGCAGATGAAGTTGGGAATGTGGCTGAGGACACTTAGTGGGCTGTTGGTCTCCATCCCATCTTCTAAAAGCTTAAGGTGGCCTCACATGAACTTATTGCATTTGAGAAGAGGTTCCACTGTTGTTCTGTCTTGAGGGAAGTCTACTAATTGGAGGCAGGAGATCTGATGGCTTCGCTGTGTAAGAGCTCACATGATCTAAGTCTGTGGCTGTGACCACTAGCTAGGATATATGGCCACCAAGTGCCTTGGAACAAGCCCACTGACAGCTACTCAAAGAATGCCTGGAGAAGAGGCCCATAGTCCTCTGTGATGCTCAACATCCTTTAGGCATTCCCTGAATGAGACTCTTGCCTCCTAAAAGGGATCAAGAAAGGAAGTCATCGAACCAGGCAGAAATCAAGGGGTAGAGATGCTCTTTGGGCTGACCACCTCAATAGTAGAAACTGAATCAGGGGAATCTTTGAGCTCACTCAGGCCAATGGGAGTTTCTCAAACTAAAAGTTCAAGACACACAAATAAATGACACTTTACCCTGTCCATCTAGTTTTGTTTGTTTGTTTGGAGACAGGGTCTCACTATGTAGAACAGGCTGGCCTTGGACTCAAGTGATAACCTGTCTCTACTTCAAGAGTGCTGGGATTAAAGGTGTGTGCCACCACTCCCAGCTGAAAAAAATAATTTCAAGTATGTATTTGGACTTGGGAAAGTCTGGCAGTATGATTTGTCCATAACCAATTATTTGAACCCATACATATTACACATGCAAGACCTCTTCCATGTTATATGTTAAGTCTGTAAAACTGACAAAAACACATAAATCTGCTATCTTTGAAAAGGACAGTGACTGAGAAAGATATCACGTTGTCATCCCATAGCCACTATTGAGCAAAATAAATCTTTGGAATTTCAACCTTTTGAGAACCATTGAGGGGCTATCTATAAAGTGACCACCTCACCAATCTTCAAAAATGCCTCCCAACTTGAAGCACCAATCACCCAGTAAACAACTAACTGCATGTGAGTGCAGGTACCCAAGAAGGCCAGTGGAGGACATTGCTCCATGAGATTGTGACTCTGACATGGGAACTGGAAACCAAACTCCGGTCAAATGATTCCGTCTCAGCAATTAGCTTTCACCTCTGCAAATTTTATCAAAGAAACTTTATATCTGCTATAGCTTTCTTCCTCCTCCCTTTACCACCCAAGCCTCTAGGAATGGAAAGCATTCTACAAACTAGACTTAAATTGGAGCTGTCTTTAAGGTGAAGTAAGAAAAGGGATGGAGCATCTCCTCTGTACCCAGAAGAGTGAAATTTCAAATTTTATACATTGAAAAAAAAAAAAAAAAAGAAAAAAGAAAAAAAAAACAACCAAAAAACAGTAGCCAAGGGCTGCCTGGGAAGGAATGAAGGGAAATAGTGAGTTGGCCTAATAGGCCAATGAGAAACCAAGGTGAGATGAGTATTTTTGAAAGATATGGATAATACATAAATACCCTTTAGTGGTGGTGGTGGTGGGGTGTCAAGCAACACTCAGATTTACAGGTAAGGGAATTCAACATAGTCTTTGAACAACAGGCCAGGAGCCTGCAGTCTGGGGGTCTAGGGGCTACCAGGGCTGTGTGTATGTTTCAGCTCAGCTACTGACTGGCTGTGATTTGGGGTGGGGGTTCTAGAACTTCTCTGAGTCTTGGTTTCCTCCCTGGTAAACTGGGCAATGAAAACAGGGCTCTTCAAATACTGGGAAGATGCAAAGAGATAATGCTTGGAAGATACTAGAAGAAAACTCAGAACATCCTAAAAGCCATATGCATATTA